ATGCATTCGTGGTGGATGATCTATTAGCGACGTGAGCTAACCAAAAACCAAACCAAAACTTCTTCTCTTGTTCCATGACTTTTTTTTTTTTGTGTAATTTATGCTCTCAAATACTAATTAGGAATTCAATAAGTGTAAGTATCGCGTATATGAACACTTTAAGAAAAATGCATAACGAGTAACACATAAATAAATATCTGTAAGTATAGTTGTATGGATGTATGTGTGCAAGAGAACAATTAAAATATACGCTTAAATAAATTCTAGACAATATTCTCGAAAACATAAAAAACAATACACAATACTACTATAACAACAACAACAACAATAAGGGCACAACAACAGTAACTACGCATATGGCACAGCATCGGCTTTAAAACAAAAAAAAAGGGGTTGAGAAAAAGGATGAGGAGGACAGTGAGTGAGTGAGTGAGTGAGCGAGTTGAAATGCAGGGAAAGAGAGAGAGAGATAAAGAGAGTGAAATAGAAAGAGAGAGAGAGAGAGAGAAAAAATGAAAGCACTTAACATAAACATTAAAATGAATGCAATGATGCAGCACTGATACAGTTACAGTCAATGTGGTTTTTGTTGTTATTACATTTTTTTCTTTGTGGTCTCGTTAATAAAAACTGATGCAATTGAATATTCAATAATCAGTACGCGTACAGCAATATGGATATGTGCAAGTATTTGCGAAAGCATTCCGTCTCTATGTGTGTTTGTTTTTAAAACGACTGATATGATAGTTTCCTTAGCTTGCACAGCTGTGTAATGCTATAACCAAATATGTTTACACTCTCACACATAACACATACAATATGCAACATATGCAATAAAATGCTACAGATTACATAAAGTAAATAAACTGATATGGAAGCGATTTTTCAATACACGCTATCGAAACTATTCCTTGCGAATTTCATTACTTCACATATGCCGAACATAACCAATTCCAAGCTGAAAGAACAATCCAGGGAAAACCGCCAATCTTTGCTAAAACAAGATAAGAATATTTGGACGTCAGCCTAGTAACCTAAAATGAAATCAAATGACATATAAGCAACAAAGTGATGTCAATGAAAAGATCCTTCGAGATGAAAGCACACCAAGAAAACCCATCTCTCATTCACAGCTACGCAGATGCTGGCCCTTGAACTCTTCCGAAACGTCTATTGCTTCTCTTCCTTTCTTATATTTATATGGGGAGACAAACAAGTGTCCATGATTCGAAAAACTACTCCCCAAGGTTTTCATTTTAGAAGCAAGAGGATGTATCGCTCAGAGAAAATGTTTGGCATTCGAGATAATATCTGGGGCCATACGTGAATCGCCGAAACTTCCAATTACTTCTTCCAAGAGATAATTGGATTGAATTCCAAGTGCAGATTTGAACGTTTCTCCGAAGAATATCTCTTCACATCTAATTTGGCGATAAGACAAGAAATTCGAAACGATTCCAAACCTCTTATGCTGATGTAGTCACCTAGGGAATGCAGATCTTAATAAACATCATCCCTGAAATACGGAACATGAATGCATTTTTTTCTTCATATAAGCTTTTATATGTGCACGCACACTTTCAATCACCCTATCACACTTTTACTGAGCATATACTTATATAAATATAAACATATATACATATATATATATATATGTATGTATATGTGTTTTCGCATCTCGTATATCTCCGAACGCTTTAAACAGAATTATTACAAACTGTTTTAGACACATAAACTTAATGTTGATAATTAAAGCTGAAAGCAGCCAGCCATACGCGGACCTTCTAATGAAAAATAGGAAGATTACATGCGGAATAAGCGTAAGAAGAACTTACACGAAGGGAGAAAAATATAAGAATCTTCAAATGTACTGAGTAGAAAAAATGAAAAAATGAACCTTCATGAGAAAGCGCACACACACACACACACACATACACACACGCACACACCGAAAGACATTTATGCACTACACTTTCAAACATTTAGATGCATATTATAAAACAAATGCATGTACACACATACGCATGCATACGTTAACAAACACAATAAAGTGATGAAGTATTTGTTGAATTTCTTTTTGTTTTTGTTTTTATTTTTTTACGTTTCTCATAAAGATTCTGTGTATTATCTATGTATGTATGCTATGCCTCTGACTGACTGACTGACTGACTGACTGACTGCCTGCCTGTTCTGTTTCGTTTTGTTTGTTTATGTGCTTTTTCTGAGGCACTATCCAAGAAAAACTATGGTTTGCAATAATGCATAACCACATTTAGAGAAAGAGTGATATATCGTTGTAATATGTGCATAAATAAATATATTTATATATATATATATATATATATATATATATA